GATCGGACCAAGGAGCCACGCTGGCCGCGCCCTCCTTCACAGGCAGGGCCGCCTCGAGGAGAAAGACCTGCCTGGGGAACGGAACAATCAACAAGCCGAAGGGGCCAAGCGGGGGCTGCCTCCAGCAGTGCTGCAGCATGCTCCATGATATGTGTTATGTTCAACAACGGAAAACAATGTATCCTACCAAGCGCTCCATCGAAACCACGCCACCATCGTCTGGTGCTGTAAAATACAAGCGTTGACGACATACGATTGGAGTCCAAAGCGCAAGTATGCCATGGCCCCGAGCTTCCCTAGGCACACGCCGCGACGGTCTGGACAGCCAGCGCTCACCAACCAGGCGAAGAAAAACAATTCACTCAAAATGGTCCCTCCGGGCCCGCCGTGGGACGACAGCTAGGTACAAGCACAGACAGGGGGGGCAGATAAACAGGGGGGGGGAGGAGAGCGGAATAACAAGATTGCACAAAACAAGAACTGCCTGAACTTCGAGCGGATTCGTTGCATCGGTGCGGGACCCCCTGCTGGCGTCGCCGGAGGCGCCGCCAGGGGGCCGAGCGCCAGTCCCAGAAATCCGCGTGGACCTCCGACACGCTGTGCTCACGCTGAGCATTCTCCTAGGGTGGAGGGCTCCGGAGGAAGTTCATATGGGCTTCTGCACCTCGAAACTCAGACCGTCCTGTGACCCCCTTTTGCCGACCCAAACCTCGACAATCAATCGAAACGGAATTTCAGATTAGACCCTTTGTCCTCCACCCAACGAAAATTATCGGTGCCCGGCGAACTGTCCTCCTCCTCCTCCTCCTCCTCCCCCTCCTCCCCCTCCTCCTCCTCCTCCTCCAGACATGGGCCTCGTCCCGTGTTCACCATTCCTTCTTTCAGGCAGCCCCGCGTCCCCCCCCTCTTCCTCCTCCTCCTCCTCCTCCTCCTCCTCCTACAACCTCCTCCAACTCCTCCTCCTCCTCCTCCTCCATGAAGCGGTGCCCGCAGCCTGCCGCGAAGAGCTAGTCGAAAGTGAGCCTGGTAACTCAAATAGCATCCGCTCCCATGGGAATCGAATGGCAGATCGCGCCCATTACCCTGCTGGGGTGGTTCAATATAGGGAATGGACGGGTATGATAGGATAAGATCGATGTATCGGTCTTTCCATCACATAGCGAACACTAAGGTAAGTGTCCGGGCAAATCGGGCGCGCGTGCATTGAGCCAAAGGCAACGGCGCGCGAGCTATGCTCCCGATGCTATAACATCCCCAAAGAGCTACCCTTAAAGTCGGGAGGGGAGGAGACGGAGAGCATAGCCGCGCAGCCGTTCGGCTCTACAAAGGCCGCGCGCACAACTGTTTGCAAGAAAGAAAACAGTGTGTACAGTCTGGACTAACACCAGACTGTAAGGCGAGTTCCCTCGCAAGGCATTTCACGCAAATACAAAATAGCCCCTTCGAGCGGTGAAGGGCGATCGGCTCAGTTAGAGGTAAGCCAAACGGGCCATACCTCACCGAGCAAATATGTATTAAGGCAAAAAGCCTGAGTCATATAAAGCCGGCTCGTTGCCAGGCGTGAAATGTAAGGCTCGTTTCCGAGCAACTGGAAGGGCGCCTCTGTAGTAGGCGCCCATGCTGGCAAATTGGACCGCGGGGGGGGGGGGGGCAACAAGGACGAACTAAAATTGATTAGACTTGGGTTTGTTTCTGTCCTCGGGACCCCGAAAGGGAACAAACTGCTTCACGTCATACTTGAATGACTGAGTGCCTGACATCACTTCCAGAAGCAGCTCCCGATCGATGCTTCCCTTTGTATGCCCGTCTGCGGTCATATCCCTAGTATCACAACACTGCCCGTTATGTACTACACCTATATCCATGAGCTCACGTATCCAACTGATATGTCCAAGCAGAGTCCGCTCTGTCGGTATCTTAAGATCCTTCCTTGATAATGATTTATAAACGGACTCAGCGTCTATGGTAAGAAATACTTTGATGGCTAGGCCTCCAACTTCACGCATATCTCGTAGTTGCCGTGGAGCCAGAGCTCCTGCCTTGAGCTCGTGGAGAGTGATGAGCGTAAGGTAACACTCATCGAGGTTATGCGCAGCTGCGAGTGCCTCCGCAGCATAGCTGGACCTCACCTGCAGTCGGTGTGATTTGCATAGTCCGTCACAGAGGTGAACGACGGACTTGCCTCGAGGCGAGTTTCCTCGCCGTAGTACAGTAGCCCCGCGTATGCCGTAGCCCTTGGTCTCATCATCCTCCTCCCCGGTGAGCTTCCGATGCCCCGAATCGCTGCGGATGTCAACTTCATTCGTCGGCTTCATCCGAGGGAAGGTGATGCGTTTCGGGCTGCTGATCAGCTTTCGCGTCACAGCATTCAGACGCCTGACTTGCAGATTGGTGGGCTCTTGGATTTTCTGGAGAGAGACCACGTATACCATGAGCCATATTTTGAATAAGAAAAGCATAGGCGAAGGCTCCTCGCAAGCTGACGAACATGTCGGTAATC